TTTCCTTAGAATTTTGTTTTCAAATCTCTGCAGTTTTAGTTCCTCCTGCTTTGTCATTGGCCACGTTTCGCATCCATACAGAATTGCGGGTCTAATCAGCGATTCGTATTCAATTAGTTTCTTCCTTTTACTAAGGAGTCTGCTTTTTAGTATGTGAACCCGAAATAGGGATGAGGACCACCCCGAAAAATTTCTGGGGATTTTCGACCCGTCTGGATTCTACCCTGGTCTCCCAGAGCGATATACTACCACCTTAACCACTCGGTCATCGGCCGTCAGTTGCTCCCTTTTGCTAAATTTCTGGTATGTCAGAAATGCCCGAATATTTGATATTCGAGATAAAAGATATTATTATTCGAACACTACGAATACTTCCACTATCGCACTATACGGACAGTCGTAGTGACAGATCCAGTATCCAAATAAGTGGACCAACTCAAAAATTTAATATTTGAATAATTAATACCTTTCGTTAACACGCGCTCGACAATTTTATTGCAGATGGCACAATAAACCATATTTGTTATCATAAATGTTCTTAAAAACGTTTGGATGTTCGAATAACATTTTTTTTTATGTATGTCAATGGCAGGGCCTTTGAGAGGCTGTATACGGCTCAAGATAGAGCGAGCCGCTTTAACCATATATTTATATTTATTTTTGAACAAATGAAGTTTAGTAAATTTTCTTAATTTATTAATATCTTGGAATAAATATTAAATAAATTATTAACTAAGTTACATAAGGTAATTAAGTTAGCTAAGTATTCGGGTATTCGAATTCGAGAAAAATGATATTCGCCCATCACTAGTATGGTGGAGATTTTAGATTCAGCCAATTTAATCATTTTTAAAATAAACGAGCCGGGCTGTAATTTTTAATAGTCTTAATCTATTCAATTTAAAATAATATATATGTTCTCCATCTCAAATTTGTAGTGTCTTGCCCCTGTACATCGTACTACTACTGATGACAAAAGACTCATGCTGGTCATCTATGTAACTCCATTCAGGGGAAATTTTTTTAAAATTGAATTCTTATATAGCTAATCAGTGTCTTCTGCCTCTAAGCTTTCCGTATCTTGCCTACATTTTCATCTATATAACACCATTCTCGAGATTAAATAAGGACGGCCAGTGGGGATTTATAAGTCTACATTTTTTCAAATTAAAGCCCAATTATAAAACAAACAAATTTCTTGAATTGTTTTTTATATAAATTTTTAGTTGAAAAGTATTCAATTAAAAAACTTTTTATGGAAAAAAAACTCTTATGCATTGCCAAATGTTTAAATAATTAGATTTCTGGAAGAATTATTGGACAAAAAAAATTCGGAAGACGCCTTCCTGTCAATTATTTACCTCAACCAATCATACCGCAGAAAAATGTAGCGTCATTAAAAATTTCGTGCATTACTTCTTACGTACATCGCAGAGGACGACATATATTTTCTTTATATTATATTCTCACGATTAAATGTAATTATTCACAATTCATCATAACGAAATGATCAACTTTATGTGAAATATTTTTTAAAACCTTAAATTTTCTTTGAATTTTTAATTAAGAGCTTTTAAGCAAAAATTGTATATAAAATAATTCTTTTAGAAAATACTAAATATATTTTAAATATTATCAACAGTTTAAAATTAATATTCAGTGAGGGTTATGCAATTTTACTAAATTATGTTTCAATAAAATTGATTATTTTCTTCACAAATTTTGTTGTTAGCATAAATTTGCAAATATTTGTTTTACATGTTCCTTAATATATAAAACAGGACAAAGAAGCTAATTTTAATTAATTTATTACATGAATATTGCATTTATTTTGTAAATAGATATATAAGATCATTCGAAATTTAAAAGTTGTGATACCAATAACAAGAAATAGAAGATATCACTTTAAAATACAATAAGTTCTCATTCTGAGCTTTCATTATCACATGGTCTTAATAGTCAAACAAGCAAAAGAAAAATTAAATAGCAATTTATAAGCTCATTAGTTGGTTAAAAATATAATAATAATAATAATATAAAGATCACAGAAAATGCATTAAAGTTACAGAATTTACACAATTTCAGTTACAGATAAAGGTGTATATATTTATTTTGAAATTTTCATATTAAAAATAATTTATATATTGCATTCACATGTATTATATAGTTATTATTATTTATAAAAGTGTGCAATGATTATGCTAATCTGGATATTATACTAAATTCTATTTTAAACTCATAAGTGAATCCTGTGCATCAGAAGAAGTGATTTTTACAACTTTACATTCTATCTCACAGTACTTTCACAATTCAGTCAATAGCACAGAAAAAAATTCAAATACAAAATAATGCCATAATCAGGGATAGATTTACACATAAATTAATAAACAAGCTACAATAATGGTCACACGCTACAAAACTATAACTTATGACCTTACACTTTTGCATTATTTGGTAAAGAAATGTCTTTTATATATTAAAAATCATAATAAGTCTAGATCTGGCCCTGTACAGTGGAAGCAAAAGTTTGGAGCAGCTTGACCTTAAAAGTCCATTATGCCAGCCCTGATTATAATAATGCTTCTAAGCAAGATATGTCAATAGTCAATTTGCAAAATCTATTAATTTATTATTAAGACTTCACTTATGAATTTACATTAGAATTTAGTAATAAATGATCCAAAGTAAAATATTATATTTAATATAAAACAATTGTCCAGTTTATGTAAAGGATATCAAAATTTTAAGAAATTTTACTTATACATTAATATGACAATAGTAAATATATTAAATTATTATTTATATTTTTCCAATTCAAGTACAATCAATTATCTTCACTGCAATGATGAAATAAAGTTGAAATGTTTTTCTGAATATAAATCAGACTGAAATTATTTAGTTCAGATCCATTAATAAAATATCTTGAAAACAAAAACATAAAATATAAGGAAAATCAAAATAATGTTGACAAATTTCACATCATAAGGTAAATTTATGCAAATATAGTACAATATGCAAATACAAAATATATATTTTGTATTATAATAATTGCATTTTCATTGAATTTCAGCATTGAGATTGAGGCAAAAGTAAAAAATCAAAATATGAGATGACATAATATAACTGTGTTTATATACTGTACATGCAGGGAAACCTCAATGACTAAGACAAAACCTTTCTCACTTCATTTCTAGCCATTTAAACACCGAGTACAAACGTTTTTGGCCTTAAAAGGGCTTCCTTTAAATAGTTCTAGCTTCAAATGCATAGAAACCTCAATAAAATACCCTCCTAAACAGAACTATCTACGTAAAGTGACAAATAATATTTTGCAAATGGATCTTCTTCATAAATATTAAATATAAAACCCTTAGCAATCTGTGAACTACCAAATGTATTATTTTGCATTGCAAACATCATTTATAATAATTAAATTATATAATTTTTAAACTCTCAAGCTCAATTTTACATTATATAATTTAACGTTAGATTAATTATATAACAATTAAAATTAAAATTATATAACAAACAATAAAAATTACAGTTTTATTTTTATTGTTTAAGCTACTTTAGTGCCATGCTCAATTTAATGCCAATTTCATAGGTAAACAAATGGTGGTATTAAATCAAAGTTTGAATATGCATAACAATGAAATTTGTTATAGCATTCTACAATAAAAAATAAATCCAATAAAGCAGCGGATATAATAAAATGGATATAGCACTACTGGATATAACAAGCTGTTAAATTTTTGCATGAGGTGTGCAATTAACTTTTGGATTTTTCATGATCTATCACATGATTTTAACAGTTACAGTTTGAATTTAAATAAATTCAAAGTTCTTGATATGGCCTTATGGTAAAGTATCAACCTATTAAAATGAGGATTGAAGTTCAAATCCATAGGCTACATATCCTTATCATTTACAATGAGTATTACATTGCATTGACGAATCATGAATAAAATTATAGCTGGTCATACAGCCTTAATCTGATAGGACTGCATTGACAAATGAGACAATAGCATACTAAGATTATCCAATAAACTGTATATAATAGCATGAATATCAGACAAATCTTGACATGTGTGCTGATATTCATCTCTATCATTGATGCAAATGAGTCATTAGAGTTTTAAGTATCTCAAGAGATTATCATAAATCTCTTATGATGCTTAAAATTCTGCTTATAGCTATACAGGTAACCCCCGTATAACACGGTAGTTACGTTCCAAAAAATTGCCGTGTTATACGAAACAAAGAACTAATACGAAAAGGAGGGTTAGGTTCCAAAAATTAAAAAACATGCTAGTATATTTTCATAATTAAGATAAATATCTTCATTAAAATTTTTTAGTGATACATATTAATATAAATTAAACAATGTTTTCTTCGTCATCACTAAAAACACTATTAATTAACCGAGAGCGTTTTCTTTTTGGCAAGTTATCCTTATCCTCTGAGCATTTTTCTGCATTATCTTCAGATCCATGCTTTACCTTTTGCAAAATGTATGTAATTTTAGATTGCTTGCTTCTAGTTAAAAGGTCTTTATAAATTTCCTTATATGGTGCTAAGCACTTATGAAGAATAAAGCAAGTATGGAATAAGGGAAAAACATTCGGCAACATCAGAAGCAGAAGCGTTGCAATCTGGCAACATTGAAACAAGTTTCGAGAAGGACCACGTGTATCGACAGAAGGCTAATAGTTCATGAAAATAATAATTTTTGTGAACTATTAGAACTTAAGTATGTAAAAATTTATTACATTTCCTGTTGTACGAGGGTTTTACCCAATTCTCGAACCGTGTCAGAGTAAATCCGTGCTATAAAAGTACCGTGTTATACGGGGGATGGTACCAATTCTCGAACCATGTTAGAGTGAATCCGTGCTATAGAAGTGCCGTGTTATATGGGGGTTACCTGTACTTTAAAATCAAATACTGGTAAATGCATTTTAATAATGTTATACAATATTTTTATAAATACTTTAATTACTTTAACTTTGCTATGAATTCTGTAAATACAAATTAATTTATTTTAAAGCTTCAATGATATATTGGATATAAATAATTGTAATTTTGATATGAAATATCTTAGTATCAAGACATTTTTTACACAAATTTCAAAGCTAACAATTAACTCTACTATGATTTAACAAAAAAAAGAACTTGAATAATTAAAAAAATTTTTTTATAGTTATTATTCCATTAAATCAATATTTTCTTTGACTTTCTAAAGGATTTTCATCTTTTTCTTCTATGATTAATTAATTACATAAACATGAAAATTGTTAAATTTTACAAATTATTTTTCAGTAAAATTAAAAACAAGATATTGAAATAGTAATATTAAAACATGGCAAAGTATTAACTGAATAGAATCATAGAACCAATTATAGATATAAGGTCTTGACTTCAGCTATCATTCAGACCTGCTTCAGGACCAGATTTACACATAAACTAAAGAAGTTACAGCTTAAAACATCATGCTTTGGTAGAGAAGAAAGGCATCTTAGCTAAAGGTCCTTGACAATTCTAAATCCAGCTTTTCTTATCTTTAGTCTACATTACAGTTTTGATATGAAAAAAAAACAATAACAGTTACAATTGCTAACCACTTAACAAAGACAAGGATTAAGTCATACATAGGATAGACTAAGCTGTGATTTAGATTATTTCTGGTTTCTGTAATGATCCATACAAGTTTGTATTATACATCATTGAATGAAATTCTTATAGAAAAAAAAAATGATATGTAGTTACTGATTTGTTTATTACATACTCTAGAAAGTCAGTTGTGAAATTTGTCAACAGAATTTTGTTACATTTGTGTACATATATTTAAATTATTCTACATTAAAGCTAGTATATTAATCTACTAACATATTAAATTCTAACATGTAGATTTGAAGTGCATACTGCGTATATTGAATCTTGTGTGCATTATATAAAACAGAATATTATAAAAAAATAACTTTTTTCTCTAATCTAACTTCCCTAGTTAAAAAGATACCAACTGACATCATTTCACATAAATGACATTACAATACACAAATTAACATAAATTTATGAATATAAGCAATCATAAACCATGACATTTATTTCTTCAGTAGTTTATTTTTATGAATTTACAACATTAAAATTGTTATTTTTAAAGCACTGATAACAACAAAACTACAATCAACAAAACTTTCTGACTGATAATCCAGTTTAATTCCAAGTTCAAATCAATTGTGCCATGCTTTAAGAATTATCTTTACATTTCTTACATTTCTTTTCTACTGTTTTACCTGAAAAAGTTTAAGACTACAGAAACTATAACAAACTTGACATACAAATCTTACCACAATTTAACAATTACAAACTAATGATATTAATGTTTTACACTACATTGTAAAATCTCATTAATTGAGAAAAGGTTCCTCCAGATTAAGTCAGAGCTAAATCATACAATATAATCTGGATAAATCTTTCCCAAATGTGATATGCATAAATGCAATTTAGCTAATGAGACAATATAGAGAATATAGCACAAAAACATAACATAAAGAATAGTCAATTCTCAATTCAATAGACTTCAATTTAACAGATTTTGGAAACAATGGGCCAAAACTTAGTGCAACCCAAAACACGTGACATGTTTCAGCAAGAATTCGTTCCATCACTGTACACGTCCATCTTCCTCTTCATCCAATTCTCTCTTCTGTGAAAAGAAAGTGTGTATGAGGAGTCACAGTGAATCAAAATAACTATAGTGATTGTTTGACTTCTTTATAATCATGACAATACAGTATATCTAAATATCTCTTCACCATTCAAGATAAATCAGCATTTTAACACTTATTTTACATTCACTTTTATGTTTTAAATCACATAAACATAGTAATTTTATCATTTATATAATACTGTTTTATCTCGTGATTTTTGTATTTATCATCATTATTTAGTTGCCCTTAGAAACAACTTCAATCAACAATACAAACACCTCTCCCTTATTAGTCCATTGAATCAAAAATCAACTGTATGATTTATACATGACAAATACACAAAACAAGTTCCAAATTAAGCTCGATTTTGGCAAGCTCTAAACTGAAAAATCTTAAAATCCAAGAACTTCAGACACAATCTTACTGCATCATGAAACAAATTCCTTAAAGTCTTTAAAATTGGATAAGTCTCACAAGAAACTAACTCATATTTAATCAATAACTGATTAAACAAACATGAAATTTTTCTTCTTTCACACCTCAATTTATAAAAATTTTAATACTTAATGTAATATTTTTTAATTCATGACACATAGTAATAGCCTAATTATAATAACTATGTAGCAGCATTTAATGTGCATATAGAACATCCTTCATATTTACAGTTTATACTAATACATCATTTAATGAATGAGCAAATTTTCAGTATTCTATAAAATTCAGCATGTAAATTATAAGTTAATTTATTGCATATATCCATATAAAGTGAAGATAATTTGAAGAATTATAAAACTCATTTATAGGATAACTTTTTATAAACTTAGAAATTTATATTACATATTCTGTAATTATATAATTTCAACTTATACAAAATATCTTTTAATCAGAATTTTATGAGATTAATTAATTAAATCAGGAAATACAATGTACCAGTAGGCAAATATTATTTTACATTCACTCAATGAAATAAATAAAACTCATAAGCATCAAAACTAAACTAAGAAAAATTTTTATTCTTTCCATTATTATGGAATTTGTCATATTTCTACAAACTAACACTTTCTTAGAATAATTCATAAACAATTTGTAAACAAAGACACCTTCCTAGCAATCTGTATGATGATAATTATTGTTTATTTAGATACTTTGAAGTTAGAATGGCTTATAAGATATAGAAGTCTATCATATAGGATGATACAAGTTTATACCTTTGTAACTGCCAGATTTTTCATTTCTACTTATCTACTTTTTGAAGCTAACTTTGCTCCTTGTTGAATGAATACCTACAAAATGAACAGAGGCTAGAGAGTAATATTTAGCCACAGTACTATATGATTAATTGTGAAATCAGTATAGTATTTTCACACACTCACTTTCCCTATATATCTACATGGTAAGGATAGAATTTTTTCTTTATTCTAAAGCAATGATTCTCAACTATAGACTGGCAACAGTCCAGTTTTTCTGGTCTACAAAAGAAAAATTAAAACTCACCACAACTTTAATTATATTAATGAAATACCTATAAAGAGAGAATTTAAAGACACTTTTCAAATTAAACTTATTATAAAACTTTTAAAAAATCCAAGCATTTATTAATTACAATTTTATCAACCTATAGTAAATTAATTATATATTTGATTAATTTTCATCATAATTATGATCGAGAAGTATTGCTGTATAGAATACTATTAGTTATTAATCATAAAGATTGACAATTAATAATATTCTATATATTTAAATAAAAAATATTTTTTGAATTCATTGCTCTATATTTGTGATGACAAACTAATAATGCCAAATTTATAACAACAAAGAATTTATCTGCTGTCTTTCAATTTTTCAATCTCTTAGAAATACTCTAGAAAATTTAGTACAACACAGTTTCCAAATAACAAATAAACTCTTAGAAATAGTTTCTCTGAAGTCTAAGTGTGCACTTAATACATTATTTTCAACAATGCATCTATCATGTTAACCAAGGAACTCAAAACTACAATTTTAAATAATTTCTCACAATATTTTAACTTCTTAAAATTATGTTTGCAGCAAAAGAACAGTCAAGTAGATATGCACTATAGATTCCAAAGTAAATGGCAACAAAACAAAACTTGTTACAATATATAGTTCAACATAAAAAATAAATCAGTATCATATGAATATTTTGTGGTAACTCCAATATCATTTATCTCACTTTCTTCAGACATCAATTCATATTTTATCTGATAATTTAAGATCATTTTAAATTCTAGTATACCTTATATCTAAGGATTTCAATGTCCTAACATGATATCAATGTAACATCTTGATGTTTTACAATAATACTGATATTTTTAAATCTCAATATCTGATGATGAACTATACAAGTATATCTTTTGACCATTTAGTTTCTAGATATAACTGGATAATATAACATCCATTAATTTCAAGGATTTAAGTATTTCAGTAAAATTAGTATTTTATTACAAATCAAAATATTCTGCAAATTTCTGGAATGTTACAAGCAGTGATTTTTATTTAGTTATATGAATATCTTTTGAATTTTCAAGAAAATGGAAGTAGCTGCATGTTAAACTTAAAGTCACAATATTAAATCAATATAAACAAATCACTTTAACTTTATAAATTAAGACATCAATATGGTTTGAAATACATATAATTTTTATCAATTTTGTTTTAATTATTATTATACATATATTCATCATTCAATCCAATGAATAATTATTGATTATACAGTTATTGTTCAGTTAACATCAAATTTAAGGACTAAAATCCCTGTTGATTACTATTTATCCAATAGCTGCACAACTGGAGGATATGCAACTTTTATATTAACTCTATGTTGGAAAATATGTTCCATGTGAGACTTACAAACAATGCACATGTAAGAGTTATGCAGGATTTGCTAATGCATATGAGATCTATCAATAGTGTTAGTCTATATGTAACATGTACAGTACATTATTACACAAAGACTGGCATATTTAGCAGATCATGTATATCACTCAATCATATGTGCACATTCATTAATATTCATTCACGTAAACTTTAATAAACATTAACATACGAGTAGAGTCTAAAACAAAATGGCTATTAAAATACACCATCATTAACCATATATTTTATTAACCACACAATGACTACCTTATTCATATATTAATTATCATCATCTTATGATGTTATTTAATTCTCATCTTAATAAAGATTTACATTAACATTCATTCAAAAATTCAGATTGATATTATTTTAAATGATGTCAATTGATTATTCTGATGAATTCAAGTTAAGGATGGTAGACATAATTAGGAATGATTATGATACACTACTACATCACAATATCAGATTGTAAATCAGCATCTTAACTAACTAAATTTAAACTCTATCTACTTAGTTAAAATTATTCTGGAATATTTTCTTGCTAAATATTAATTTCAGAAAAAATTGGAAGGCTTTTTTCATATATCAAAGAAAGCGATAATTTTCATTTTTCTTGTTAATTTTATATGTACAAATCAATTTAATAAGTTTCTGTACATAATAAAAATTAGATATGAAAATATATTTAAAATTATTGCATGATGAAGTAATTTATTAAGTCTTTGTAGACATCATGGAATGATATACTCTCAAGTGATTATAAAATATGGAACAAAATTTAATCCATATATTACATACAGATTTAGTATATTCACAAAATCAATGTATTTAAATTGATTTTGTGTTAAGATTTAAACATATTATCAACTCTAACAAGTAATACAAACCTAAACAACTTCCTATCTCAATAATAAGATATAATATCAAGTGTTTCACAGTCTTTATTTACTTGAATTTAACTCAGAGACTCAAGTTGACACATTGTAGTTTCTAATGTTTGTTAAAAAAAAATAAGTAACAATAAAGATTATATAATGACAGTATCTTGGCAGTTTGCAGTAGGAACAAATTAGAAACTAAATTTTAAAATTAAGTAACAATATAAAATTACTTTAGGGCAGGAACTTATAAAAATTCACATCACCCTGGCATGAAGAAATGGTATCCTGGTTGCAGATCAAACTAATATAGAAACAATTAAATCTACATACCATATTCACTCAGAATGCATCATAAAAATGTTAAAAATTTAAACTGATTTTTAATTTTATTTTTGTATGATGATATTTTTAGTGTCTGATAACGGTGATCTGCCTGAAAATTAACTAAAAAAATATGAAAGTTATCACTAAAGAGAGATTTCAATTTTATTCTAGTGCTTTGTAAGATGAAAAGTTTGTTATTACTTTGTTTCTTTTATCGTAATATACAGGATGGTCTAAAAGTCAGTTAACCATTGTAAAATCTAAATTGCTGTCTTATTCAAACATTTTACTACAATTTTATAAATAGTAAAGACTATCAATTTGAATTTGTTCTAAACTCAATTGATGATTCACATTTGCAACTGTACTTGGAACATGCAAAATGGAATAAGGTTAACTGGCTTCTGAGTCACTGCGAATATAAATTACTTATTATATATTGGATTTCTCCAATGATAACTTTCATATTCCTAACTTTTTAATGAAACCCAAAGTAGAGTAAAAAATTACATTATAAAAGTTATCCTAGAAACTCAAGGAAACTATTTGACAAGGAATGAAAATATTAATATTTTTATTTAGTTACAAGGAAGCTTTAAAATTTCAATTCACTATTTAGCAAGAAAATAAGCTAGAATAGTTTCACTTAAAACTTCTGCAAAAAATCTATCATATATTTATAGTTTATATTTTGGAAAAAATAAATTTTAGAAGCAAATTCTAACTTTATTGTATATTTAAGAATGACCTGACAGTCGACCGTCTATACCGAAATAATCTCGAAAAACGTAACCACAGTGATGTTCTTCCAGGAAGTGAAAAAACTCTCCCATATCCATATGATACTCCCGACCTGGTCCCTTTCTCGGCTGAAAGCTTATTTCTTCAAAAGTACCAAATTTTCTTAAGTTATTCTTCGAATCAAGTTCCAGAATCTCCTTCTTCTTCAAAATAATTTTCTTCCAATTCATGTGCTTAATTTTGTGCCAAAAATAATTACAGTCTTTAGTTGGACCTTCGACGCATATGATACCCGGTTTTCCCGGTAAACAGAAACCCGTGAGTTGCAGTTGTTGACTTAATTCTAATATGGAACGACGTTTGCATTTATTATAGATGTGGTGACTATATATCCATAACCTACAAAAATATTCATCATCTTCACTATCTTCACTACTTGGTAGAGTATTACAAAATTTTGATTTTTCAGTAATATATTTACATGTATTGTCTAGTAACCACTGAATGAGAGATCCTATACACAATTCACCTTTAGGTTGCTCGCTTAAAAAATTACTTATGTCTTCATTTAACTGGTGTTGATTGTCTCTGGTCAAACAATTTGAACGAGCATAAATTTCCGGTTCGGATGATGGATAATCATGGGGTAAACTGCAACTAACTTCTAATTTTTCCTGAAATAATAGGTATAATTTCCTTTAATTTAAAAATGATCATATAAAAGTATAAATTAATAATACACAAAAATAGAAGAGAATCACATAATATATTACATAAAACCTCTTTAAGAAACAGACATTTCTTGTTTTACTAACATTTGCTACAAACTCTCAGATAAATGCATATAGCAAATGTGTCTGACAGATCCTTTGACTGTACAGTACAAGTAGGAAAATGTTTGTAATGGGAAGACCATATCTCATTTCAGAGGGTAAAGCTGTATGCTGTATTATAAGTTGTGTAATTCCATGCATTCAGTACACATGCATCAAAATTATGTATAACTTGCATCTTTATCAAAAGAAAAACAGAAAACATATATTCATAACTACAAAAATAAATTTATATTACTTTACTGTTTTGATAACAGTTGCACTAGAAGGCATAAAAAGCCACACAAGTTGTCTGTCTATGTTCTACTATATTACAGTGAAATTTTTCCTAAAAAGTGAGAAACAACTTTGCAGTCTATGCAGAAAATGTAGACGCTGAATCAAATAATGAAATTACTTATAAGACACAGTCCTCTTTGATTCAAGCAAATTTCATATATTAATGTATCATAGTACTATCCCCTCAGTAACTCATTATAAAGCCAATTGATACAACTCATGTCCAAAATTAAAGCAACACACATAAATGTACATGACAAAAACACAGAAATGAATGGCCCTCCATTACAATGAATCTTCCAAATGCCTTCTCTGAAATATAGTGGAACCTCGCTTAACGAGTACCTCTCATAATGAGTAATTCGCACAATGAGCAAAACAAATTGTAAAAAAATTACTTGCTTAACAAGCGACGTTTCGCATAACGAGTGACAAGAAGACGCACTGGTAACAGGTTAGAAAGAGTTATATTACTATTCTCTGGTGTTGTGGTAAAGATGTGTAGTGGTATATATCGTGTTTCCACGAAAATAAGACTAGCAGAGGTTTTGCTGAATTGCTAAATATAAGGCCTCCCCCCAAAAGTAACACTTAGCAAAGTTTTTTTACTCGTAATGGTCATTGACAGATGGTTGAAAGTGGCTGTTGGCTTTTTGAAAGTACAGCCACTGATTGGTCAGCAGACCATCACGCTACATGGCATGATTTGCATAAGAGTATGGCTTGGGAATCACAAATTTGCATAATGTTATGGCTGGTGTATGCTAATTGGTTGGCCAGGAATTACACCACATCACATTGCATAGTCCTACGGTTCAGTAAGCACTAATTGGTCATCGAGCCCAATGTCGACACTATAAAAAGGTTAAGTTGAAGCAAGAGTGGGAAGTCCACTCCAGCACGGGAACTTCATAAGTTCACTTCGGTTTTATTTAAGTTCAGTTCAACATGACTGGATATATGTCACTCTTGTCTAAGTTCGAGTTGGGAATTTTTTTGTTCAACAATAAATGTGAATTCTTCTTCATGGAAAAATAAGACATCCCCTAAAAATAAGACCTAGCGCATCTTTGAGAACAAAAATTAATATAAGACACTGTCTTATTTTTGGGGAAACATGGTATGTGGCAATTGATTACAATTATAATAGGCAAAAAAGTTTTTACTACATGAGTCCCCAATGTTGCTATATCAATAATTCATTACTTGCAAGGAGAATTTTTGTTATTATGTAGTTTTGTTGCATGTCTATATGGAAGTTACAATATTTAAAATGTTGAGTTATAATAAATAAAATGTTTAAAGTACATAACAAAATACTAATATTCTTTGTTAAAATTAGAAAAATACTCTGCATGATAATCCACTTCAATGCACATACGAAAAAACTTTTGAAAAAGTAAGATTTGAACTTGCAACAAAGAGTAAAGTACAGTAGTTAAACATATCATTCACTTGGCTATGCCACCATAAAAATATTATCCATACAACATGGTACATAAAGAACATGGCAAATTTTAAACCTATCTTCTTGTGAATGCTTGAGTTGCATTGAGTGACTTTATCGTGAATTACAAGGAGGATACTAATACAATATATATCAAACTCCACCAAGTTGGAGGGAGCCATTTCTGGGAGTCCCCTTGTGAACAACAAAAACTTCTTAATAATAAATAAATGTACTACAATATATTGGTCTTTTAATTTTGCTACTTATTTTCATTTTCTTAAATAATTAAAGATGTTTAACACAACAAATAAAGAAATGACCCTTAGAAATAAATCTTGTTTGTAAATCAAGAAGTACCTATAATGTTTATTATGTTATAAAATTCTGTGAAACTATGTTTAAAAAGTTATAGGAGATTAAATTCTATAAAATCAGCATTCTCTTTATTACATTTATTCCTTAAGTATGCCTTAAAGTGAATTTTGTTGTGTAGTGTATTGTATAGTGTATAAACCTTATATACAGTAAAACCTGCTGTGACCACCTATGTAAGATGACCACTCTGAGCTGGTCCCTTCATGGGTCACATCAGCAAGTTTCACTGTATTATTTAAATTAACTTCAAAAGCTTTAGACTAAATAGTCTGAAACTTCTGGAGATAAATCTAAAAAAATATTAAAGCAAATAAGTATTAATAGTATTTTAATAAAACTTTATTAAACTGAACTAAGTATAATTTACAGAATATGAAAGATAAGAGATATGAAAAAATTTCTATAAAGTTTATGTTCTAAGAAAAGATATTTGAATCAAATTTACATTTCATTAGCCACTTTTAACAATGATTTGTTTTCTATTTGATCCATAACTTGATTCATTATCATTAACTCCCAACATAAAATTGTTTGATGTTTTCTTTTTATTTGTTGGCATTAAATGTAATTAGAAGAAAATGAAATTTAACATAAAAATTGAAGTATCACACTAAACTTCAAACTTCAGCAAATATATCTTAAACAAAATGTGTCAATCTATTCAAGGCCACCTTCAATTAACATTCAAAACAAGAACATCAACACAAAATTTCAAAGACATACAACCAGTGTTCAAATACATTGAAAAATATAGCAAAAAAATAAAATAAAATGAGCAATTGTTTATTGTGACACTGTCACAATACCAGGCTACAATTTATTTAATTTAAAATATATGCTCCCCACCTTTTCAAATTAGTAGTGGCTTGCCCCTGTACAACATACTTTCCTGCTAGCAGCAGAGTCATGCTGGTCATCTACCTAACTCCTTTCAGGTGAAAATGTTTGAATTGAAGTAACATAACTTCTTGGGCAGATTAGAAGTTTGTATAGAGTTAATTAGAGCCTCCTGCCTCTAAGCTTTCTGTATCTGGTCTTGACTTTTATCTATCTAACTCCATTATCAAGATTAAGGAAGGACAGACAGACAGATGGATGACAGTGGCATTTACAGGTCTACAATTTTTTTCAAATTGCAACTGAAAAATATTGTGGGCGATTTTCATATTACACAAATATATTGCATGATATCAGGGGACCATTTCCTAAGATTATAAATTACAGAAATTTGGCTAGAAAGATATCACAATGGTGTATCCAATTTGGTTTCTTAAAATTATCTATCATTTTATAATGCTATATAAAAATATAAAAAATTTATTTTTAGCAAATCGCAATAATATTGGCAAGAGTTTATGCAATGATTTTTTCTTAAAACATAGATATGTAAATTCACTAGCAGAATGGCTAAACTTCTACAGTAATAATATTGAAGTTCCTTTAACATCTTATGTGATAAATTTGTTAACAGATAAATTATGTGGCTAGTAATCACATTATATAAATGGTTAACTGATACTCAGTTAGCTAATCTGTTTAATTGTACTATGTCATTGATGCTTTCATTTCCTGTTGATATTTTAGAAACAGTGATATCACATGACATAAAATACAGTAATGATTGATGTTAAAATACTATATATCTGTTATCTATGACAGAATCATGCTAGCATCATAGATGAGTAATGTTCTCAGCCATTAAACCAAGAGATTTATTTAAAAACAAAAAACAAAAAAATTATTTTCAACTATATTCATTTTCAGGTTCACAAACAAAGTTCTAAGTTATAGAAATTATAATGTTATACATTCTTGGAAACAAAGTCTGGCAGAAAGCATTACCCCATGATACTTTGAAAGTTCTGCTTATCAACAAAAATGTATGGAAGTCTAAATTTGATGTACAAAAGAAATGTAAGGATGTCAAAGTATTATGTGCAAAAGAGTGAGTTATCCAAAAGTTAGAACTGCCTTTATAAAAATTACAGTAAATTTATTATTATTATCATTTACATCAATATGTATAAGATTTTTTATAGTAAGCAAAATGTTTTTCATATAGTAAGAAAGTCTTAAAGATTTCACTTAACATAAATGGAAGCACTTGATTAGATTAAATTAATTTTTAAAAATGAATGTTTAATCATTTTGCAATGAAAATAATATCTGATTTTATCAGTGGCGTGCCGTCATTGGAAGCAGTGGATGCGGCACTTCCCTTGTATTTTCTAAAAAATAAATACATATTAATTTTAATTATATGAAAATAATCGCACAATATTTTATTATAACCGCATTATGTATCTTATTACAAATTTCTATACTATATGTGAAAAACAAAAAAAAATAAGGTTGCTATTGTATATTCGAATATTAGCGGCGGAATGGAAGCGCTGTATTGTCAGCACCCAAAAAGCCAGATTTGCGCATGCGCTTTACAGAGCACCAATATCACCTGGTTTAGATGGTGGAAGCCTAAACCAAAAAGCTTCTCATAACGAAGAATTGGATGTGGCTTATAATAAAATCAGTATAAGAACAATAAAATCTATATTATGGAATGATTTAATTATAAATTGGCAAAGTGATTGGAATAATTGTAACACTACTACTCAAGAATATATCAAAGACATTAATAAATTCCTTAAAAACAAATGGTACAAACCCACTAGCCATCTGACACAAATACTCACAAACCACGGTCGTTTTTTTTCGTATCTGTCCAGATTTAAAGGTGCAATAAATCCAAATTGCACTACCTGTGACATTATTGATGGGAGTAGTCATTACATATATGATTGTCCAATGTTAGAAGTAGAAAGATCAACATTAAAAACTCTATTATATTCCCACAAAATAAACTGGCCACCACCTACATTGGATATTGTATTTGATCATAAGGATACCCTTGATGCATTCTTACAACTTGTTGAAATGTACCATCTAAGAACCAACGTACCAGCCTATAGCGGTCACTGAAGCTATTATCTATGTCAATCATTAGGTATCATAACCAATATATAGGTCATTCTAAAAACACACTGGATAATATTTAAACGTTATTGCGGAACGATTAAACTGCTAGCTCAACTCAATTATCGTCTCTGTAGCACTTTGTAATCCAATTATTTCAGTAATCAAAGCTATGCAGAATATTAAACAGAAGTAACTGGATCAACTCTAGTGTTATTCAACCTGAGTTACAACTGATTTTGTTTTGTATAGAGTAACTATGGTTCAGTTAGAACTGTGTCTTTCATTGGATTCAAGAAGAGTCCACATTATTATACACTATAACAGTAGCGTACTTATAGGTATTTGCTACAGGATTACCATATTAATGACTGTAACGTTCTTGTAAGGAGTGGACTTTTCGTCATATCTTCAACTTTAGGTCACTCTGGCTGGATTGATCTCCGAACTAGTAACACTTAACTGATTTTTCAGTAAAATTTGTGAGCGTCCTCTTGTGGTGTTCCTTTCAACATTATATTATAAGTAATGCACTATTAAGTGAGACATTTACATACTGAGAGCACTTTGGAACATGCTCAACTACCAAACTTTGGATCTTATGAGCTATTGTCTTCAATTAAGCCACATATGGCTTAAACTGTGAACTCAAGAACTTACGAGATGATAAGTGACTCACAACGCTAAGATTTCACTTTTATGATGAGTAGTGTATCTATGGATGTGAGGACCCTTGTCTTACGGCAGCTAACTGGAAGCATAACTGGAATGTTATTCAGGAGAACATGTAGATGATGTCATCATGAGAATTACCATAGTGATGTGTAAATTGTATATAACATACACAACGTATAATTATAGATTGTATGTATAACGTGAGTAATTGACAAACATTGTAGGAAGATTCGATGTATGTTAATTAATGCAAGTTATTAATAATAATGATAAATGGATATGACTAACTTATATACATAGCTATGTATGAAAACTTGAGATGTAGTTAATTTTTATGTATCACATAATTCTGATTGTATAATATTGTTCTCATGTAATTGATACTTTATCATCTATAGTAATCTATGTAACATACGTGACATAATGTAGTTAATTTTTATGTATTTCATAATTCTGATTGTATAATATTGAGTTCATGTAATTGATATCTATCTCACTGGTATTAATTTATGTAACATATGTGATGTATTTGTGATATGCACTTGCATAGTCGAACTGTAAATTTATTATTCTTAATAATTGATCGTGTTAATTAATTGTTAAGTGTTAATTAATATGATTACAAATGATACTGTGTATCAATTGAGTGTGAGAGTATTGCCTTTGATGGCACATCATAAGTGTTGTCCTGCAATACAAGATGCTTCTGCAATAAGTTACTGCACGCGCGTGCAATTAACTATATACTATTGTACGCGTTTATTATTTAAAAATGTATATATATTATAATCATATATTATGTATTTAATTTTACTCATATTTTATGTAATCAAGGTTATACTCATATATTATGTAATTAATATTATATACTTGTATTCACCCGGTTATGCACAAGCGGCACCGGGATATGTCTTGTGACATATACAAAATAAATATCTGAATCTGAATCTGAATCTGGTGGAAGCCTAGGACCTTTGGATGCTACACATATACCGCATCCAATTCCATTCAGGACCGGTTCTGGGCTGTTAGCCACCTGCCCACTAGATATTTGGCCGCCCTTGCCCCATTATGTGAATTGCGAGTAGACTTTTATAACTTAACCCAACCGATAAGAATTTACTGGTATGTTTTTATGATAGTTCTGTATAGTTGACAGGAGTTAAAAAAAAATCCATTAAAATATTTGATATTTTTATTCCGCTTTCCGATTTTATATTACTCACGAATTTCAATGTTAAACTGGCGATATTACGATTTCGTATATCCCATCTTTAAGGGGATGTAGAAAAAAACATGTACAATTCTTGTATAATGTTAAAAAATTAACTGTTACTTTGGTAGCATCATTTACAACTAAATTTAATGAATGAGAGAGATGTACCAGGTACAGAAAAAGCTCTAGAATTTATATTTCTTAAATTTATGATTTATGTATCCGTTGTCACAAAAATTTGTCTTTCCACTTTTTTCCCAAGACTACAAATATTTGAGTACAAAGTAATTGGCTTCGACTTATTTCTACTTAAGAAGTAGTTAAATAATTAAGTGATTAGGGAAGTGGGGATACGAATAAAACCCTGCTGAAAGAGCCGGAATTTTACTTAAACAAAAGCTTAACCGAGTACAGTGTGGATTGATTTCTTCATAATATTAGATGTAATAAAGAGAGAAATTTTTCCAGTTCAATGAAAGTGACTAAAAGTTGTAAATTTTGGGAATTTCCGTGGACACCTGGTCTTAAAACAAATTAGTTAGAAAACAAATGACTTTTAAGTTTAATAAATTTAGATTTTTACAGCTATGGTGAAAAACATTTAAAATTTACAACAACCCTGTTGTGTCGTTTGAGGTATACTAGTGATGCGACAAAAGAGGCATTTGACATTAACTGGTATCGGCACCCTCGGGATTTGGCATGCATGCATACACCGCACACCTACCAAGATTGTCTCTGATTCCATCCAAGAGCCACTGGTAGGGAGCAATTTTAACTAAGTGGATTGTTTTAATATTTAAAAAGTAAAGNCTAACTAAATTTAAACTCTATCTACTTAGTTAAAATTATTCTGGAATATTTTCTTGCTAAATATTAATTTCAGAAAAAATTGGAAGGCTTTTTTCATATATCAAAGAAAGCGATAATTTTCATTTTTCTTGTTAATTTTATATGTACAAATCAATTTAATAAGTTTCTGTACATAATAAAAATTAGATATGAAAATATATTTAAAATTATTGCATGATGAAGTAATTTATTAAGTCTTTGTAGACATCATGGAATGATATACTCTCAAGTGATTATAAAATATGGAACAAAATTTAATCCATATATTACATACAGATTTAGTATATTCACAAAATCAATGTATTTAAATTGATTTTGTGTTAAGATTTAAACATATTATCAACTCTAACAAGTAATACAAACCTAAACAACTTCCTATCTCAATAATAAGATATAATATCAAGTGTTTCACAGTCTTTATTTACTTGAATTTAACTCAGAGACTCAAGTTGACACATTGTAGTTTCTAATGTTTGTTAAAAAAAAATAAGTAACAATAAAGATTATATAATGACAGTATCTTGGCAGTTTGCAGTAGGAACAAATTAGAAACTAAATTTTAAAATTAAGTAACAATATAAAATTACTTTAGGGCAGGAACTTATAAAAATTCACATCACCCTGGCATGAAGAAATGGTATCCTGGTTGCAGATCAAACTAATATAGAAACAATTAAATCTACATACCATATTCACTCAGAATGCATCATAAAAATGTTAAAAATTTAAACTGATTTTTAATTTTATTTTTGTATGATGATATTTTTAGTGTCTGATAACGGTGATCTGCCTGAAAATTAACTAAAAAAATATGAAAGTTATCACTAAAGAGAGATTTCAATTTTATTCTAGTGCTTTGTAAGATGAAAAGTTTGTTATTACTTTGTTTCTTTTATCGTAATATACAGGATGGTCTAAAAGTCAGTTAACCATTGTAAAATCTAAATTGCTGTCTTATTCAAACATTTTACTACAATTTTATAAATAGTAAAGACTATCAATTTGAATTTGTTCTAAACTCAATTGATGATTCACATTTGCAACTGTACTTGGAACATGCAAAATGGAATAAGGTTAACTGGCTTCTGAGTCACTGCGAATATAAATTACTTATTATATATTGGATTTCTCCAATGATAACTTTCATATTCCTAACTTTTTAATGAAACCCAAAGTAGAGTAAAAAATTACATTATAAAAGTTATCCTAGAAACTCAAGGAAACTATTTGACAAGGAATGAAAATATTAATATTTTTATTTAGTTACAAGGAAGCTTTAAAATTTCAATTCACTATTTAGCAAGAAAATAAGCTAGAATAGTTTCACTTAAAACTTCTGCAAAAAATCTATCATATATTTATAGTTTATATTTTGGAAAAAATAAATTTTAGAAGCAAATTCTAACTTTATTGTATATTTAAGAATGACCTGACAGTCGACCGTCTATACCGAAATAATCTCGAAAAACGTAACCACAGTGATGTTCTTCCAGGAAGTGAAAAAACTCTCCCATATCCATATGATACTCCCGACCTGGTCCCTTTCTCGGCTGAAAGCTTATTTCTTCAAAAGTACCAAATTTTCTTAAGTTATTCTTCGAATCAAGTTCCAGAATCTCCTTCTTCTTCAAAATAATTTTCTTCCAATTCATGTGCTTAATTTTGTGCCAAAAATAATTACAGTCTTTAGTTGGACCTTCGACGCATATGATACCCGGTTTTCCCGGTAAACAGAAACCCGTGAGTTGCAGTTGTTGACTTAATTCTAATATGGAACGACGTTTGCATTTATTATAGATGTGGTGACTATATATCCATAACCTACAAAAATATTCATCATCTTCACTATCTTCACTACTTGGTAGAGTATTACAAAATTTTGATTTTTCAGTAATATATTTACATGTATTGTCTAGTAACCACTGAATGAGAGATCCTATACACAATTCACCTTTAGGTTGCTCGCTTAAAAAATTACTTATGTCTTCATTTAACTGGTGTTGATTGTCTCTGGTCAAACAATTTGAACGAGCATAAATTTCCGGTTCGGATGATGGATAATCATGGGGTAAACTGCAACTAACTTCTAATTTTTCCTGAAATAATAGGTATAATTTCCTTTAATTTAAAAATGATCATATAAAAGTATAAATTAATAATACACAAAAATAGAAGAGAATCACATAATATATTACATAAAACCTCTTTAAGAAACAGACATTTCTTGTTTTACTAACATTTGCTACAAACTCTCAGATAAATGCATATAGCAAATGTGTCTGACAGATCCTTTGACTGTACAGTACAAGTAGGAAAATGTTTGTAATGGGAAGACCATATCTCATTTCAGAGGGTAAAGCTGTATGCTGTATTATAAGTTGTGTAATTCCATGCATTCAGTACACATGCATCAAAATTATGTATAACTTGCATCTTTATCAAAAGAAAAACAGAAAACATATATTCATAACTACAAAAATAAATTTATATTACTTTACTGTTTTGATAACAGTTGCACTAGAAGGCATAAAAAGCCACACAAGTTGTCTGTCTATGTTCTACTATATTACAGTGAAATTTTTCCTAAAAAGTGAGAAACAACTTTGCAGTCTATGCAGAAAATGTAGACGCTGAATCAAATAATGAAATTACTTATAAGACACAGTCCTCTTTGATTCAAGCAAATTTCATATATTAATGTATCATAGTACTATCCCCTCAGTAACTCATTATAAAGCCAATTGATACAACTCATGTCCAAAATTAAAGCAACACACATAAATGTACATGACAAAAACACAGAAATGAATGGCCCTCCATTACAATGAATCTTCCAAATGCCTTCTCTGAAATATAGTGGAACCTCGCTTAACGAGTACCTCTCATAATGAGTAATTCGCACAATGAGCAAAACAAATTGTAAAAAAATTACTTGCTTAACAAGCGACGTTTCGCATAACGAGTGACAAGAAGACGCACTGGTAACAGGTTAGAAAGAGTTATATTACTATTCTCTGGTGTTGTGGTAAAGATGTGTAGTGGTATATATCGTGTTTCCACGAAAATAAGACTAGCAGAGGTTTTGCTGAATTGCTAAATATAAGGCCTCCCCCCAAAAGTAACACTTAGCAAAGTTTTTTTACTCGTAATGGTCATTGACAGATGGTTGAAAGTGGCTGTTGGCTTTTTGAAAGTACAGCCACTGATTGGTCAGCAGACCATCACGCTACATGGCATGATTTGCATAAGAGTATGGCTTGGGAATCACAAATTTGCATAATGTTATGGCTGGTGTATGCTAATTGGTTGGCCAGGAATTACACCACATCACATTGCATAGTCCTACGGTTCAGTAAGCACTAATTGGTCATCGAGCCCAATGTCGACACTATAAAAAGGTTAAGTTGAAGCAAGAGTGGGAAGTCCACTCCAGCACGGGAACTTCATAAGTTCACTTCGGTTTTATTTAAGTTCAGTTCAACATGACTGGATATATGTCACTCTTGTCTAAGTTCGAGTTGGGAATTTTTTTGTTCAACAATAAATGTGAATTCTTCTTCATGGAAAAATAAGACATCCCCTAAAAATAAGACCTAGCGCATCTTTGAGAACAAAAATTAATATAAGACACTGTCTTATTTTTGGGGAAACATGGTATGTGGCAATTGATTACAATTATAATAGGCAAAAAAGTTTTTACTACATGAGTCCCCAATGTTGCTATATCAATAATTCATTACTTGCAAGGAGAATTTTTGTTATTATGTAGTTTTGTTGCATGTCTATATGGAAGTTACAATATTTAAAATGTTGAGTTATAATAAATAAAATGTTTAAAGTACATAACAAAATACTAATATTCTTTGTTAAAATTAGAAAAATACTCTGCATGATAATCCACTTCAATGCACATACGAAAAAACTTTTGAAAAAGTAAGATTTGAACTTGCAACAAAGAGTAAAGTACAGTAGTTAAACATATCATTCACTTGGCTATGCCACCATAAAAATATTATCCATACAACATGGTACATAAAGAACATGGCAAATTTTAAACCTATCTTCTTGTGAATGCTTGAGTTGCATTGAGTGACTTTATCGTGAATTACAAGGAGGATACTAATACAATATATATCAAACTCCACCAAGTTGGAGGGAGCCATTTCTGGGAGTCCCCTTGTGAACAACAAAAACTTCTTAATAATAAATAAATGTACTACAATATATTGGTCTTTTAATTTTGCTACTTATTTTCATTTTCTTAAATAATTAAAGATGTTTAACACAACAAATAAAGAAATGACCCTTAGAAATAAATCTTGTTTGTAAATCAAGAAGTACCTATAATGTTTATTATGTTATAAAATTCTGTGAAACTATGTTTAAAAAGTTATAGGAGATTAAATTCTATAAAATCAGCATTCTCTTTATTACATTTATTCCTTAAGTATGCCTTAAAGTGAATTTTGTTGTGTAGTGTATTGTATAGTGTATAAACCTTATATACAGTAAAACCTGCTGTGACCACCTATGTAAGATGACCACTCTGAGCTGGTCCCTTCATGGGTCACATCAGCAAGTTTCACTGTATTATTTAAATTAACTTCAAAAGCTTTAGACTAAATAGTCTGAAACTTCTGGAGATAAATCTAAAAAAATATTAAAGCAAATAAGTATTAATAGTATTTTAATAAAACTTTATTAAACTGAACTAAGTATAATTTACAGAATATGAAAGATAAGAGATATGAAAAAATTTCTATAAAGTTTATGTTCTAAGAAAAGATATTTGAATCAAATTTACATTTCATTAGCCACTTTTAACAATGATTTGTTTTCTATTTGATCCATAACTTGATTCATTATCATTAACTCCCAACATAAAATTGTTTGATGTTTTCTTTTTATTTGTTGGCATTAAATGTAATTAGAAGAAAATGAAATTTAACATAAAAATTGAAGTATCACACTAAACTTCAAACTTCAGCAAATATATCTTAAACAAAATGTGTCAATCTATTCAAGGCCACCTTCAATTAACATTCAAAACAAGAACATCAACACAAAATTTCAAAGACATACAACCAGTGTTCAAATACATTGAAAAATATAGCAAAAAAATAAAATAAAATGAGCAATTGTTTATTGTGACACTGTCACAATACCAGGCTACAATTTATTTAATTTAAAATATATGCTCCCCACCTTTTCAAATTAGTAGTGGCTTGCCCCTGTACAACATACTTTCCTGCTAGCAGCAGAGTCATGCTGGTCATCTACCTAACTCCTTTCAGGTGAAAATGTTTGAATTGAAGTAACATAACTTCTTGGGCAGATTAGAAGTTTGTATAGAGTTAATTAGAGCCTCCTGCCTCTAAGCTTTCTGTATCTGGTCTTGACTTTTATCTATCTAACTCCATTATCAAGATTAAGGAAGGACAGACAGACAGATGGATGACAGTGGCATTTACAGGTCTACAATTTTTTTCAAATTGCAACTGAAAAATATTGTGGGCGATTTTCATATTACACAAATATATTGCATGATATCAGGGGACCATTTCCTAAGATTATAAATTACAGAAATTTGGCTAGAAAGATATCACAATGGTGTATCCAATTTGGTTTCTTAAAATTATCTATCATTTTATAATGCTATATAAAAATATAAAAAATTTATTTTTAGCAAATCGCAATAATATTGGCAAGAGTTTATGCAATGATTTTTTCTTAAAACATAGATATGTAAATTCACTAGCAGAATGGCTAAACTTCTACAGTAATAATATTGAAGTTCCTTTAACATCTTATGTGATAAATTTGTTAACAGATAAATTATGTGGCTAGTAATCACATTATATAAATGGTTAACTGATACTCAGTTAGCTAATCTGTTTAATTGTACTATGTCATTGATGCTTTCATTTCCTGTTGATATTTTAGAAACAGTGATATCACATGACATAAAATACAGTAATGATTGATGTTAAAATACTATATATCTGTTATCTATGACAGAATCATGCTAGCATCATAGATGAGTAATGTTCTCAGCCATTAAACCAAGAGATTTATTTAAAAACAAAAAACAAAAAAATTATTTTCAACTATATTCATTTTCAGGTTCACAAACAAAGTTCTAAGTTATAGAAATTATAATGTTATACATTCTTGGAAACAAAGTCTGGCAGAAAGCATTACCCCATGATACTTTGAAAGTTCTGCTTATCAACAAAAATGTATGGAAGTCTAAATTTGATGTACAAAAGAAATGTAAGGATGTCAAAGTATTATGTGCAAAAGAGTGAGTTATCCAAAAGTTAGAACTGCCTTTATAAAAATTACAGTAAATTTATTATTATTATCATTTACATCAATATGTATAAGATTTTTTATAGTAAGCAAAATGTTTTTCATATAGTAAGAAAGTCTTAAAGATTTCACTTAACATAAATGGAAGCACTTGATTAGATTAAATTAATTTTTAAAAATGAATGTTTAATCATTTTGCAATGAAAATAATATCTGATTTTATCAGTGGCGTGCCGTCATTGGAAGCAGTGGATGCGGCACTTCCCTTGTATTTTCTAAAAAATAAATACATATTAATTTTAATTATATGAAAATAATCGCACAATATTTTATTATAACCGCATTATGTATCTTATTACAAATTTCTATACTATATGTGAAAAACAAAAAAAAATAAGGTTGCTATTGTATATTCGAATATTAGCGGCGGAATGGAAGCGCTGTATTGTCAGCACCCAAAAAGCCAGATTTGCGCATGCGCTTTACAGAGCACCAATATCACCTGGTTTAGATGGTGGAAGCCTAAACCAAAAAGCTTCTCATAACGAAGAATTGGATGTGGCTTATAATAAAATCAGTATAAGAACAATAAAATCTATATTATGGAATGATTTAATTATAAATTGGCAAAGTGATTGGAATAATTGTAACACTACTACTCAAGAATATATCAAAGACATTAATAAATTCCTTAAAAACAAATGGTACAAACCCACTAGCCATCTGACACAAATACTCACAAACCACGGTCGTTTTTTTTCGTATCTGTCCAGATTTAAAGGTGCAATAAATCCAAATTGCACTACCTGTGACATTATTGATGGGAGTAGTCATTACATATATGATTGTCCAATGTTAGAAGTAGAAAGATCAACATTAAAAACTCTATTATATTCCCACAAAATAAACTGGCCACCACCTACATTGGATATTGTATTTGATCATAAGGATACCCTTGATGCATTCTTACAACTTGTTGAAATGTACCATCTAAGAACCAACGTACCAGCCTATAGCGGTCACTGAAGCTATTATCTATGTCAATCATTAGGTATCATAACCAATATATAGGTCATTCTAAAAACACANCATCGATTCTTTCGTAAAATTGAAGCAATTTGGAAATCAAAATAGAATAGAATTTAACATTAGTACACAATATAAAGTAAATATTGAAAATTATAACAAGGTAGTTACGGCTAATAGATATATTATATTTTAATTAGTAGATGTTATTGAAGCAAGAGTTGGCATTTAGAGGGCATAGAGAATCTATTAAATCTAATATAACAGAGTTAATTATATTGAACTTGCTTATTTATTAAGTGCGTTAGATAATCTATTAATTAAAAATACATTTAGAGAAGTCTACGGTTTTTACTGGCTTATCTAACAAACGAATACGAATGGGACCCTAGACCATCGCTGACTGATTGCCCCTGGAAGTGGCTTCTTACAGAAACACAGCTTCCCTATCATCAAATGTCATGGCACGCCACTGGATTTTATGTAATGTTTCACAAAGATAAATAATCTGTTATTCCTTTTACTGCACAGAAGAAAAAAAACACTTTCTGAAACAAAAAGTTTTATCTGATGTTTTAAGCTAGGGTTGCACAACTTACAGGTTGATTCAAGTTGTATTAGATTAAACTGTTTTGAATGAACTGCAGTATTATAACTAAAATATATTGACATGAACATTAATCAAACATTCAAAAGCAAATCGACAATGTCAAATTGTCAAACTCATGTATATTCAGAGCCATTGAGGGGAAAGCTGGGAATTTTTCTCAGCCCAAAGAAAACTTAGGAGCTCATACTGATTCCTACCCCTATAAAATTAACATTATCTTTAATAACAGAAAATAAGATCTTTAAGATAAGCGCATTCTACATATTTTATTTTTTCAAAAACGAAAGGTCAAAGGGCTCCATACAAGCTTCCATTGGTCTGTATATACAGTATATAAATTTAAATTAAAACAACATTAATGTATTTATGAAGATCTGAATAAATCTATTAACATAAACATGATTTTTTTTATCAAAATCAGGCAACAAGTCACATTGAAATGTTTAGTAGGTTGCATCATATGGTCTTCCAATTGTATGTTGTGCAACTGTTTTAATTAAGCTGTTTATTTATTGAGATGCCCACTATGTTTTATGGACTTTCATTTTCAAACATTTTTGAACCTGGATGATAGATACAGTACAAAGGCACTCAAAAGTGTTAATAAATAAATTTTTGTTCCAGAAAGCAGCATTTGTATATATATATATATACATATATATTTTGAAGATAAAAAGTAATTATGCCATCAATTCATGTGTTATACAAGATCTTCCAAAAAGAATACTACCATTTTAAATAATTGTAATTATGTTAATTATTACCTGAAAATGATTTAATATATTTCAAAACATAGAAAAATTCACCAAGTTCCATCAACAATGTGTATTCAAACAGTTTTAAATTGTGTGCTTCCTCAGCAATGGATCAATGGCATGAGCAAAATGACATTGCTCTGCTGCCACCCAGATCCCTGGACCTGACACCTGAAATTTCTTCTAGTGGGGCTATGTAAAATACATAGTCTATATGCCACCATTGCCTAGGAATCTGCAGGAACTGCAGAATCAGATTATAACTGCTTTGGGAGAAGTAACAACAAATATGTTGCAGTAAGTTTAGAAAAAAATTGACTATCGGCTGGGTGTGTGTCGTGTGACACAAGGAACACATATTGAGGGATTGTAATGAATGAGTACAAAACTTCAAGAGTGTTTCTGTTTTGAAATATATTAAATCATTTTCAAGTAACAATTAACATAATTAAAATAATTTAAATGATAGCATTCTTTTTGGACTATCCTGTATTGCATATACCATATTTGTCATGATATAAATATGAAACTAGATATTGATTTTTTTATTAAATTTCTTCATTAAAAGTAACTTGTAAGTCAAAAATTTTAAAATTATATAACTTATTCATGACACGTGATTAATAATTACAGAGAGTAAATTTTATAAACAGGTAACTTTATTTAAAAGAATGATAATCTTTATTATTTTCAAATATTCATTTAATATTAAATTAAAAAAAACCATTAATAGATCAAGTAACAGATATTCTTTATGACAATTCTTTTTTAACTATTTTCATTGTAAATACAAATTTCCTCCAATAAAATCAATATCAACAAATGCTCCTTGTGTGATGTGTTACTGAAAGAATTAAAAGCCCATAGCTTTTAATTCTTTAAAATCAACAGCATAAAAACTATTTTAATTTATTTGCAATTATAAATTACTTGCTTATAATGTTCACTTCTTTGACTGCTTCAAAAATCTGCACTTTCAATAATACTAATGATTTCACAGAGATACCTTTAAATGCAGTACATTTTTAATTATACTTTAATGTTTTTGGTCATTTTTAACAACCTTCTTCAAAGAAGAGAAATACATTCTAAATATAGAACTTGTCTGTCAGTATAGAACCTATTACCTCAATTTGAAAATTAACACATTAGAACATAATTTCACAAATTCAAATGTATATATCAAATGTCTGTTGTATTTTATATGAATAATAAACATTCAGCAGGCAGGTTGGAATTTGTGAAATTATGTTCTAATGCATTAATTTTCAAATTGAGTTAATAAGTTCTACACTGACAGTCAAGTTCTATATTTAGAATTTATTTCTCTTCTTTGAAGAAGGTTGTTAAAAAGACTGAAACATTAAAGTATAATTAAAAAATATATACTGCATTTAAAAGTATCAGTGCGAAATTATTAGTATTTAACTTCTTTTTTAAAATATAAATTATCTTTCTGGAAACATTAGCTTTTTCTGCTCTGCAAACACTAAGAAGGCTTTTTCTCACGACCAGTATGGATTCAACTAGATTCACAAAGAGAGAAGCTGGATGATTCGGAACAAGGTCTGACATATCTAGATCAATTCACCCAAAGAAATTTCTGAGCTGATCTGAACTCAAGACAAATTCTTCTGGAGTGTAGGATAAATCCTTTATTACCTCAGCAATCTGATCATTCTGTTAATTTGATTGTTGTTAACCTTAGTTTTGAAATAAAATTTTAAATCATGACTAATGACATATTATAGCAAATCTGAAAAATGTGTAAAAAACTGTTTTACACATAAGTGATCTCATTTGGGTGAAATCTAAGAGCCAACATGTAAAGATTATTGTCTTTGTAAGATCTGATGAGATTTGCATTTTTAAAACATGAAAATTTTGTTAGGTTTATCAGCAAATTTGTCCGTTCTGTAACTAGCCTAAAATATAGATCTGTCTAATATTCATGATGTATTCTCATGAGTTAATCACTCAATTGTATTATATAATAAAAACGTTGTGAATAGTCCTTCTGTCTTCTTTATGGTTGTAGTAATTTTCTATTCTTCTGTCTCTGCCATATTTGTTGGGTTTGCTGGTTCAATTACCTTTTGTTGATTTTTATTTTCATTTGGAATTATTTTTGGGCACATTTTTCATTATGATTATGGATGATCTTATACATGTTTTGATTTTAATTTAGATTCACACAGTTAGTTTAATCAGCACTTCGAATACAATAATACTGCAACATATTTTTAAAGTTTATACCACTAGTTTTACTGCTTGTTTCCAATTGGTTAACTCAAAAACATCTGCTGTTAGCTAACAACCACATGTTAACTAATAGCAGATGTTTTTATGTTAACTGATGAAAAATGTGCCCAAAAAATAATTCCAAATGAAAATAAAAATCAAGAAAAGATAATTGAACCAGTATACCCAACAAATATGGCAGAGACAGAAGAATAGAAAATTACTACAACCATAAAAACAAAAAGACTATTCACAAGGTTTTTACTTGACTTGTTTAGTATTGTTGTGTTACTGTCCTAGTGATAATTTAGAATCCTATTAACAAGGTATATAAAATAATTTGTAATAATTGTACTATTAATGTATACCATAATGTTGGCAATTATTGTCACCATATTCTGTTTCATTTATGTCATCCAATTGATAAGGGCCAATAAGACTGAAATGCATTTTGGTTAAGTTAATTAAATAGGCTGGGTATGTAATAAGCCTGTTCATTAGTCATAGTGGTCATAGTAACTAAGTAGTAACTAGTAACTATATGCTTTAAATTTATGCTTATATTCTTCAAAGCTCAGGTTCAAAATGTGGCATATTGTTACAAAAATGTCAAAACCTATGCCTGAATTTATGTAATTATGTATAATCACAATATATAAATTATTAATTGCTTAATGGAATTATATAATATGTTACAACGTACCTCTCCTATATTAAGATGAAGAGTAAAGTCCATTCTCGGTGGTAGAATGTCAGTTTTTCCATCGATAAACGATTTGATTTCATCGATTACAGACAGATCGTCTAATTTAAATTCATCTCTGCTCGGATACATGCTGATTAACATGTCTACTTCGGTCAATTGTAACGCCAACAAGTCTATCAGACTGCAATCAGTTTCCGACATGGTTAACGATAAATCTTAGCACATGTCCTCAACATGTGACAAAAACAAATAACGACGATGGCGGCCATCTAACATCGTCTAGCGGAGGAAATTTATTGTAAAAATTTATAAATTTTATATTAAATAATTTATATAAATATTAATACATGTTCATATTTTATTTATATACAGTTATATATATAATATATATAAATATGTACATTTATATGTGTAATATATATATATGTTACCGCTAAAGCTCGAAATCCGTTAATGTGCGCATTACCTAGCTAATCTGCGGATTAACTAGGGTGATCCGTTAAAGTTGCTAAAATTGTTCCATTTCTCAAATTACCTAGGTAATGTTCAGATTATCCAGGTAATCTGCACATTACCTACAAGGCACTCGGTAAAGTGAAAATAAGATCTTTGCTGGAACAACAGCAACGTTTCTGTACGCTTAAATTAGCATAATGTTATTTATTTAATTTTCAATATCTAAAGAATCAAGTTAATACAATCAACAAATTAGTTGATTGAATCAATCATCAATCAATTAAAAAAA